TGCTACACTAGTGTGAACAATACGCGTATGAGGGAGGTCCCTCTACATCACCCATGGCCAAGGAAGTGGTGGAGGCTGACAGTAGATGATCACTGGCATGCAGTGAGAGATATCATCCGAAACGCTGTCGTAGACAATGTACCTCAGTTACACCACACACACGGGAATAGAAGAACCTGGGTTAGGCGCGGCAATGAACGCTTGCAACAGGTGAAGAAGAGAGCCTGACACAAGTGGAAAGTCTAATTAAAGGATTCCGATCGCAGTTCTTACTTGGCATTGAGAAACAGATGCAATACCAAAGTTCGAAGTGACAGGAGACAATTTCAGGTGAAGCTAGCTGCCAAAATACAGGCAAAGCCGAAGCATCTGTTTAGGTTCATGTCCAAACGGAAACCTACTAATCAAGGGTTGTGTTCTCTCAAAGGACCAAACGGGTAAGACCTCACCAACCTAGAGATAGCCGAGATCTTCAACAATAACTTTACTGAGCAGTTAAACTAAGCGCACACATGTTCAGAGTACTACGCTAATCCATTGCTAGCTGACGGCTTAGGGAACATCCGTATCACTCCTGACTTAGTACTAGGGAAACTAAAATACCTACGCCCAGGTAAGTCACCAGGTTGTGACAAAATTCGCCCCTTGGTCTTGCAAAAATATGCAGAAGCCCTCTGTTCACCGATATGTGACCTGTTCAGGCATTCACTGAAGTCACAACGATTCCCAGCTGAATGGAAAAAAGCTACTCTCTCTCCAACCTTCAAAGGTGGAGATAGGAAGGACCCGGCCTGTTACAGACCAGTCGCACTACTACCAATATTATCAAAGGTTATGGAAGGGCTGGTGGACGAACAAATGATGGAGTACACGGATTAGAATAAAATACTCAATGAAGCTCAACACGGGTTTCGAAAAGGCAGGTCGTGTACATCAAATCTTCTCATAGCATGGGACAGTTCGAAATCCTGCTTGGACTGTAAAATACCGGTGCACGTAATATTTCTCGACTTTGCAAAAGCCTTCAACACGGTACCCCACGCACGCCTAATTGCAAACGTTGTGCGAATGGCCTTCGCTGACCCACTCGTATCTTGGCTCAGAAACTACCTTGAGAATAGAAAGTTTCGTGCCAAGGTAAATAGAGTGCACGCGAGCCGGCGAATATCCACATCGGGAGTTTCACAGGGGACCATCTTAGGTTCACTTCTCCCCCTGATATTTATTAACGACCTTTTAGGCTCAGTAAGCTCACCGGCATTGATGTACGCAGCCGATGAGAAGATACGGAGGTCCATTAGAAGCGAAGAGGATTCGACTCAGCTTCAAAAGGACCTTACATCTATTGAGCAATGGGCAGTGAGAAACGGTTTAAAACTCAACCAACCGAAGTGCCACGTCATGTATATTCTGCCCCACATGGCGCAAACGATCTACACCTTCAATGGAAGTCCCCTCCCTAATTTCCCCTCAGAGTGCGATCTCAGTTTGATAACCACAGAAAGCCTCCGCACCAGCTCAAACTATATAGGGGACGCAGCCAAGGCAAATGCGACTCTTCACTTTATGCGAGGACAACTTGGTGCTCTCACCCCAGAATTATTATTAACATTATTTCAGACATACGCGTGCCCACACCTGGAGGTTCACAATGTCATCGCACCCCCGTCTGCTCAAAAGAGACATAAATCTCTCGAATCGAGTGCAGAGACGAGCAACCAAATGGGTGATAGGGTTGAAAAATAAGCCTTATGAAGATAGACTCCAGCACTTGAGATTATTTCCATTGAGTTACAAAAGAATCAGAGGTTATCTGATTATGGCGTACAACATATTAAGCACGCAAAACGATCCCAACGTGAGCATCTTACCGATGCATCACCACCACTCCCCTCGAGGCAATCCTCGAAATATTGCACATCAAAGAGCGAATACTCAGGGTCGTGCATGTTACGTCCAGTTTTCTGCTCGTCGATCTTACGAAGCACTGTTGTCGTCTATTGGTAATTCAAGGTCCCAAATTTCTATACCAAGAACGAAACTCCAAAGTAGATACCAAAGTTTATTCCAAATCACAAATTCCACCAAAATAATTTATTACAAATAGACGACCAATGTCGTTCTTCTAATTTATTATCTCTTGGAGCAAAAAACTGCAACGAACAACAAAGAGAAACGGGAGTCCAATATGTCCGCAAATAATAATTCAAACAAGTTCATAAGTTAAGTAAAACAAATATACCCAAAAAACAGTGAAATTAATTATATTTATACATGAAGGTTTTAATCAGCAAAATGTCTTCGTTTCTCCCGTAACAGTGCACGCCTTTTCTCACTGCAAGTAGTCGCAACTTGGAGTGCTCTCCCAGTCGAGGTGACCACAGCCCCCTCAGTAGACAGCTTTAAGAAGAGACTTGATAATCACGTACTCACATACGGATTATCATCTCCCTCCTGGACAAGCTGTTCATGATGCATATCTTGAGACCTGCTAGTTGTTCCCATTGCCATCTCCTCAGGTCACTTAGTTAATCTATCTCACCTATTATCTCTGTCTCCTCTCCCGTGCTTACACTTCAATCCTCCCTCCCAATCTTCATTACCAATTAATAAACTAAATCATCTATATATTACTCAGTTCTGAAATTTTATTCATATTACCATTGGAATTGTATCCTTTGTAGATGGATTTTCTACCGTAGCAGTTCAATTTGTTTCCAGTAAGTGCAAGTCGCACGCGCCATCCCCCAACTCAATGTCAAAACACAATAATTCTAGGAGAAAGCGGTCTATATTATATTAAAAAATGGAAATACAAATCAATACCTGACTTTTGATGCACCTTCCAAGTCCAATTACTCTGAGGAGTATCCGAATTTAAAAGGAATAATTGATGTTAAATCCAACCGCCACAGTATCAATCCAAATATGGCTGTACCCATATTAAAGTTCAAATTCAAACAACATGTATACAGTTCAGAAGCAAACATAAAAACTTCAATATAAGTACAAAATATAGAAAGAATAACAATATACAATGATAAAATCTCAAATTGGAATCAAATAAAATACCGAAATTTCAACAAAAAAAGGTCCGTCGTGTCATAACAAAAATATATAAACATGGAGGGATTTTCCAAAAAACAAAATATCCAAAAAGAATTCTACACGGGCCCGCAAAATCCCTCCATGCAAAAAAGACAAGCGTTAATGACACTTCAATTTAGGGTTCCCACTCATCCCCTAATCCACACCGGAATAACGTGTAGGACTTACAGCAGTACGCCTACCCGCCCTCCAACATGGATATGACCTATCAAGCTAACTAGGTACCTATACCTTCCCATCAGGCCCTTGATTCCCCTATCTATCGTAACATGACCTAACGGTAGTATAAACCTTACCCAATTAACCCACACGAACATGTACAACACGTCGTAAAGCTGGTCATATCCTATCCGGCAACTACATTCCATATCATGGGGATGAGTCGTCATTCCACCACCACTTGCTCCGATCGGCAGATACAATGAAGTCAGTGATGCTGACTTATCAACAGAAGTTCTTGACCCATAGATAATATGCAAGGGTGGGATCTCCAATTTTGATATCTCCTCGTCTCCCGAAGACTCCAAATAGCATAACAAGGGACCAATATTTATCTCTCCATCTGCTGATACAGAGGAGGTTTGATCAGCATTCGTCATCGTCGGTAACTCATTTGTCACATCAGTGACATCCAGATTATTATCAATGTCATCATGATTCCATTGTGTCAGACAAGTTGCGTCGTTTCGGTCTGCACTAGCATCCGTAGAGTGAGACTCTTCCATTGTTGTATAACTCATCTCGCTACATGAAAGAACAGCATTAGTGTCACAATCCAAAGCCGATAAACTCACTTGTTGTTCTTCATGTTCCGTTTCAGAGACACAAGACGTATGCACATCAATAGCATCGTTATCATGCAACACTGTAGACTGACTGTTACCATCAGACGCTTCCTTCTCATCATCACTTGACTGACAGTCAACCGAAGTAGGAACACTTACAGTTACACAACCTTGTGTATCCTCAATCAACTTAACATTCGCGACAAGGTCCGATGACGTCGAAACACTAGAAGGCTCGTTCGATGAAGTTGATCGACTAGTCACTATAAGTGGACTGCTCACACTTTCTGTCTCCTTATTATCGCTGTCACTACTAAGATTCTGATAGATACTATTTCCATTGCTAGTCATAGCATCCGAAAGAGAATGATGTTTAGGCTTCTTAACAATAGTAGCGTCATGTTGTTTCCTAGGCTTCTTAGCCTTTACAGTACCGCCATCACTTGTCCTAGAATCAACTCTAGGTCCCGTTATATAATTTACCCTAAGTGAAGGGTTCCGAACATAGGCTTTATTCCGTCCAGCCAATCCTGCCTTGGCCTTATTCATATTTACTGAATTCATTAACCTCTGTTTACTCGAATCCAAATAACCGTTCCAGGCTTTTCGAGCATGGAGGGATTTTCCAAAAAACAAAGCATCCAAAAAGGATTCTACATCCTTATTATCCTTATTACTTTCCAAATTGTAACTAACTGATCTCCGGTCTGGTAATGTGATAGCTGCTGGTATCCAGAAACCCTACTGCACTGAAACAAACGTTTTCATTCAAATGCCGAGACATACAAACTCACAACCAACTGCCAACTGACTAGAATTAGTGTGATCAAGTGGCTAGACCTCCATCCATTGGACATTACCGAACACCTGTGACCTTACCTAAAGAACAAGAATCGAGCGCAAAGAAATCAATCGGTTTACACTAGCTAGTGAAAATGATTTTGGATATTGAAAGGCGGGTTACGTATGTGACCTTGGCTGTTCCGATTTATGCTGTAGTTGTTGTTCCTGTTTCACGTTTTTCGTTGCATACATCTTAACTATCCTAAAGTCCCAACGGCTTTTCTTTTAAATATATATATAGCACTTTATTAGTTGTTGTTCATCATGTGGAAGTCTATGGTTTCTTCGATATCATCCTTCAATCTCGTAAGTCAGTCATTTTAATTTTGATATGAATTCATGTTGAAAAACACTGGTTATTCAGAACAAGCCTAATATTAGTTATTTTAATTATATTATGCACCGCTTTCCTATTTATTCTGTCGGACTGAACTTGTTACCAGTTAGATGAACACGAAACTCAAGATAATGCATATAGCTGTTGCAGCACACTTTATTATGTGTGCAAGCGCTAATCCTCATGCTTGTTAGCGTCGAAAAAATGTTGACTTGGTAATATTGCATGATCTTAAAGTAGCTACAGCAAACTGCCTCTAGGCCTACTGTAGTCTGTTTATTATTCAAAATATACTTGAAGGTGATTGGAATACAGTATAGTCCTGTTTTCAATTCATATTGCAGTTATGGTTACGCTTTTCTCAACTCTTTGTTCGTAGGTTTTTGTTACGAACCCTGACCCGAATACGCTACTTGAAGTCCTAGTAGTTTTATATTCTTCAAGGTCCTACGGCTCACAACTATCATTTTATAAATCACTGCTTTAATAAAACAGAACTAGTCTCAAGACTGACTTGCTCATTGTGGAGTACCAAACGATAATTTTAAAGCATCTGTTCTACATTTATCCAAGCTAATATCAGGAGTTGTAAGTCTTTTCTAATCCTTAAAACTTAAAATCAGTTTGTTTGTCTCACTGAAGCGCTGATCATACTAAATATGAATTTATATTTTACATAAAACTCAATGTACTTTTCCGCCTTCAAACATTCGTCTTGAATAATGTATTGAGTGTATCTCTTTTTGTACGCGTACAATTTGTGTCTTAATGTATTTCAATTACTCGACAACGATTCTCTGCATCCTAACAATCATGAATGTTATAAGTCCGTATCAAGGTGTCTAACATCATCCAGCCTCTCTGTAAAGTATTTTTTGTTTTTGAACTTTAGGTTCGTTTTGCTTCAACTGCAGCGGAACAAGGTCCGCGTATGAAAACCTTTTCCATTTACAGATGGGTAAGTTGTATCAATTTATTGTGAAATGCTCCTGATTAAGAACGGTTAATATGAAACTCATTACTGTTATAAATGTTCTTGCTTTTAATGAAATACCTAGTACCTGGAAGCTGATACTTCGTCTTATTCCGCTATTTGTATCGTTTTATTAAAGATTCCCATTCTGTTCTGATTATCGTTTTATTGTATGATTTAACAGCAGAACTTTGACAAGTGTATCTGTGTTGTATTTTTTTGCCCAAGAGTACTCTAGGTACATTAAATCTGACGCCTCAAACACAAACAACCAGAAAGATGGAAATCGTTAGGAGAAGGGTGTGTATAAATGTAGACTTCTAAAATGGCTGTTTAGAGGAGGAGAAGCGTCACGCATCGCTGTGCCGAGGTATGACCACAGTCCCTAGACCGTTGCTGCTTCCTTGACATGTTGATTGGGCTTGCTTATCGTGATGACCCTATCGAGCTATATTGGTTAGAATACATGTTCCTTAAGGTCCTATCATGCCAGGCAGGTGGATTGGAAAACGATAAGACTAGAAGCAGCAAATGAAGGTCTGAGGGCGAAGTTGTACTGCTGACTGTGGTGGGGTGTGACAGCAGTAAGGCGATTCTGCCTTCTCACATCGAAAGGAATGGCTTAGAAAAGGTCAACCCTGGAAATTTCACCTCATCTTACCCCATGGATTTTCGTATCTGGCGGTAAGGTCTTTTTAAGAGCGGAGCTAACACTGTGAAAACTCAATTAGACATTGTGCAACCTGCCTCAAGCAATTGTCTCAGGCTCTGCGGTCACGCTCTCAGGTCTATAAGACCAACACTAATCCAATTTTATTTTCAGGTCTCTCAAGAAACACCTACCGTGTAAGCAGCCGAGGAGTGACATCCGCGTTCATACCCGCAATACCACATGAGATCGGATTGGTCATAGTCAAATCCCTCATATACCTCTTAATAACCCGCTGATGCAACCGATTCGAGTTATTCCTAGTCTCCTTAAACCCCATTCTAAAGTATATGTTGGAACTTTTAATATCCGGATCTTGTGCCAAATAGGACGACGTGCTTCCTTAGCTGGGACACAAGAATCTCGTGCCATCGATGTATGCTGCGTCTCGGAAACGCGCACACAGGATCCAAGTAGATCCAAACTTTCGACCTCACTTAGTCAAGATAAAGGACCTTTCTCGAATAATGCTTCGTGTATCTGGAAGTCCTACTGCTTCCTCCCGTGACCTCGTGAGTGTAGGTATTGCATTGAGTCCTGGGGCAGAACCATTTCTCTTTGACTGGATCCCAATAGGTGGCGGCCATGTAAGTGATTCCCAACCCGAGGTTGCTCGAGATGATATCCATAAAGCTGTAGAAACAGCAGTGATATCTGCTAGTAAGTCAAACCATAAGGTTAGGAGGAGGCACTGAATTTCAGTAGCATCTACTGAACTGATGGATGCTCGAAAAGTCATCCCATCTGGCTCTGAGCATGATGAGGAGTGGAGTCAGCTTAGGCGCAAGCTGATAGTAAGCCCACGCAATGATTGCGAACGGTGGTGGGTAGAGAAAGAGGGGGGAAAGGCAGCGGCGATGGGTAACAGTAGACATGTATTCAGACTTATCAAGGAAACTGGAGTTAGGAATCCGACTGTTAGTGGAGCTATCACGGAAAAGGATGGGATTATTATTCACTGTCAATCCAAGAGACTGGATTGATGGGCAGAACACTTTAGGGACGAGTTAAACGTGTCTTCAGCCACACTTCGGTTACCCACGATCCCCAGTCGACCTGATTGGCATATTGGTATTAAAGTTGGAAATGCTATAGGAAATCTGAAGCGAGGGAGATCAGAGGGCCCCGGTAGGCTAACCCATGAGATTTTTAAGGATGGTGGTCCAGTTTTAGCAGTTAAATTGGCTGAGATCTTAGGTAGAATCTGGGAATTGAACGTAACTTCATCAGTTTGGACATGTGTTAGAATACCCAACCACAGACTGCCTCCGCGAGCGATGATGTCTGGTGTAAAAGTAGGCTGAAAGAAAGCTAAAGGCAGCCAGACTGAGACGTGGCACAAGTCCATGAAGTCACGGACAACTGGACTAAGCCAGGTTGGAAGTGTAGACTACTTGGTTGGGGTCCGCAAGATGATAGTAACCAGTGGTTAGAAACCTTGAATAACATGGCTCAAAATCGTTTACAATGGCCCAGATGCATCCACTCGTTGTTTTCTCTCAAATTCTAATCTTCTGAATTCTACATGACTGTTTTTCTCTCTTATTTTTAAAATTGACTCTTCTGGGATATACTTCTCAAAGGATATCTTTGATCATTCGTCTTTTTCATTACTGCTAATACTTCTACTACCTCTATGGGATTTGAATTGACCATTCGATCTCTTTGTGCCAATGTGGCAAAAGGCAACTTGAACTGATGTACCCTACGTACTAAGTTCTGCGTTTTAGCTGACTGACTGATGTCCGTAATCCGTAATTGAGTGCCCTCAGTTATAATTACTCCATAAAAAATAACAAAGTAAGCATCGTTGTTGAATGTTTGTAAAAGTATTTGAGAGGGAGCTATTTGCCACTACTTATGTTTGTGAATTATTGAACCACATTGTGAATCTGACTTTATCAAATTTAATTTCACATCTTTTTCACTTCAAAATCTTCATGGTTGATTTTCTAAACACTTCTCAATTTTTTCTTTAAAACAGAACCCAGATATTCCTGGTATGAAACCCACTATGCAAAGTTATCAAGTCGATCTTAACGATTGTGGACCAATGGTTTTGGATGCTTTAATTAAGATAAAGAATGAACAAGATTCTACTCTAACATTTCGACGTTCTTGCCGTGAGGGGATATGTGGTTCGTGTGCAATGAATATAGGGGGTCGTAATCATCTTGCATGTATATGGTAATTTTGTACTCACTTTATATTGTTAATACCTTAGTTCATATAGTTAATGTAAAATTATTAATACTTTGTGTATTTGCTTCATTCTGTTTCTAGGGAAATAGATCAAGATATTCAGAAACCAACTAAAATTTATCCGTTACCTCATATGTATGTAATTAAGGATCTAATTCCAGATATGAACAATTTCTACGCACAGTACCGTTTTATTGAACCTTATTTAAAGAAAAAAAATGTGACTGAAGAAGATATCGGAAAGCAAACCTATTATCAGTCAGTAGAAGACAGAGCAAAGCTAGACGGGCTTTATGAATGTATTCTGTGTGCTTGTTGTTCCACTTCATGTCCATCTTACTGGTGGAATGGTGATAAATATTTAGGTCCCGCTGTTCTTCTTCAAGCTTACAGGTAAGTACGAAGATTTTACCAATCTAATCACTAAATGATGTTTCATGAAAGAGTTACATACATTTCTAGATAATATTTTGTTTTAGAAAGTGAATATTTTACTTCTTTTCTTATTCGGAAAATGTTATAACACGTTCGCAATGAATCATGGCAGTTGTTAAAGAGCTTTCTAGCTTTCAAGTTCAAATTGGCTAAATGTTCCACTCATAGGTTTGAATTACTTAGAGAAATCAGTCAGTCAGTCAGTCAGATGCAACGTAGAACTTTGTACATAAGTACATCAGTTCATGTTGCCATACCACATCAGCACAGAGAAGTAATCGTCAATTCAAATCCAATAGTAGAAGAGGTAGTAAGGGAATAAGAAATAATCGGAGAGGTTAGGATTAGAAGATATTATTCAAGAAGTATGATTCAGTGAGATAAGTTTAGAGAGTCGAAACTAGAGGTGTTGAAGAATCCAGAAGATTAGCATTTGAGAGAACACAGAGAATAAATGCACCGGCGCCATTGCGAACGATTTTGAGCCATGTCATTCAAGGTCTCTAACCATCGATTATTATCATCTCGCGGACCCCAACCAGGTAGTCGACAATTACCAACATGGCTCAGTCCACTAGTCAATGACTTCATGGATTTCTGCCATGTTTTGGTTTGGCCGCCTCTAACTTTCTTCCAATCTATTCCTACACTACAAAACAAGGCTCGACGAGGCAGCCGGTGGTTGGGCATACGCAACACATGTCCCAACCACCTCAACTGGTGAAGTTTCAATACTTCGTCGATTGATCTGCCATTCTTACCTAGCACCCGATTCCTAATAACAGCGTTGCTCACTCGGGTGTCCCACGATATACGAGCAATGCTTCGAAGACACCTATGATCGAAAACCATTAACCTACGAATATCTTCTACTCTCACTGGCCATGTTTCACAGCCATAAAGTAAGACGGAGCGAACTACTGCGCAGTACACTCGTCCTTTAGTCAGCAAACGGATATCTCGCCTACGCCATAAGTGACGCAGGTTGGCAAAAGCCAATCGAGCTTTCTGTATCCGTGCTGAGATTTCGTCAGTCACCAGGCCATCGGCACTGATGAGACTCCCAAGATAAGTGAAGCGGTCTACACGTTCGACTACTTCACTCCCTATCATTAGTTCAGGTGCCGATGCAACCCAGTCTTGAAGCAACATTTTGCATTTCGAGGGGGAAAATCGCAACCCGAACATGCTTGCATTGTTGCTTAGGGTAGACAGAAGACTCTGCATTTTGTCAGCGTCTTCACCAAGTAGGACAATGTCATCGGCATATTCTAAGTCAATCAGCGAGCCACCTGGTAGAAGGTCTACTCCTGAAAATTCAGACGAGGATAATGTTATGTCTAGGAGCATGTCTATGATAAAATTAAACAAGAATGGAGAAAGTGGACATCCCTGACGGACACCACTTGATGTAGAGAATTCCGTTGACAGTTCGCCATAAGCCCTCACTCGACCAGTGGTGTTCGAGTAAAGAGCTTGTATAAGGTTAATGTACTTCTGTGGTACACCTTTCAATGACAGACACTGCCACAGAACCTTACGATCCACTGAGTCAAATGCCGCCTTAAGGTCTAGGAAAACAACTATTGTAGGACGCCTAAATGTGTGTCTATGTTCCAGGACCTGTCTGAGTGTGAAGACGTGGTCTATACAACCACGTCCAGGTCGAAAACCAGACTGGTTTTCTCGAGTCTGCTCTTCACGAGCTTTCGTTAAGCGTCGAAGTATTATTGAGGCCAGTATTTTAGATACTATATTAGTTAGACTTATTCCCCTGTGATTGTCACAAGAAGACTTTTGTCCTTTCTTATAGATTGGGACAATCAGCGATTGAGACCAGTCGGATGGGATTGCGTTCAGTTCCCAGATTCTACCTAAGATCTCAGTCAACCTAGCTTCTAAAACTGGACCACCATCCTTAAATATCTCAGGGGTCAGTCTATCAGGACCTGCAGCTCGTCCTCGTTTCAGATTTCCTAACGCTTTCTCAACGTCATTAAGACTAGGGGGACTTAGGTCGATTTGCCATTCAGGATGACTGGAGATCGTGGGTAACCGAAGAGTGGCTCGTGGCCAGTTGAACTGATCCCTAAAGTGTTCTGCCCATCGATCCAGTCTCCTGGATTGAGAATGGATAATAAGACCATCCTTTTCCGAGATAGTCTCACTCACATTCGGGTTCTTAATACCAGTTTCTTTAATAAGGCGGAAAAGTTGTCTACTGTTGCCGATCGCCGCTGCCTTTTCCATCGCTTTTGCTTTCGCCACCCACCACTGTTCGCGGTCGTTACGCAGACTTTTTATAAGTCTACGCCTAAGCTGACTACGCTCTTCATCATGCTCAGAGTCAGGTGGGATGCGTTTTCGTGCATCCATCAGTTCGGTGGATGCGACTGATATCCACGGCTTCATCCTAGCCTTATGGTTTACCTTACTAGCAGATATCACTGCTGTTTCCACAGCCTTTTTGATATCATACCAACCTGCTTCTGGATGGGAATCACTTACATCGTTGCATAACTCTCTTTCTAGTTCCTCCTGAAATATTTTCTTGGTTTGATTATCATTAAGTAAAACCCTGAGAGGCTTTCTTACGGTGTCTTTCCTACGCCCAGTGAGCCTTAAACAGATACGAGCTCGCACTAGAGCATGATCTGAATCCAAACATGTGCCCCAGAACGAGCGACAGTCTTCTATCGAACCCCTCCATCGGTGACTGATGGCGATGTGATCTAGTTGAGTCCAACGTTGAGACGACTTTGGAGGTCGCCAGGTCAGCAGATGCTTTTCCTTATGCCTAAAGTTGGTGTTCGCTAAGAATAGGCGGTTATCTGAGCATAGTTGCAACAGACGGTCTCCATTGTCTGTTCTCTCAGTCGCTACACCATAACATCCACCAAGATGTCTTTCCTTTTCACCTAGTCTACCTACTTGAGCATTAAAGTCACCAGCCATTATTACTATATCAGAGCGCCTAGCTTTTTGGAGGAGGTCCGAAAGCTTTCTGTAAAACTCATCTTTAACCTCGTCTGCACTGCAGTCAGTGGGGGCATAGGCAGATATGACGAAGAGGCAACGGCGAGTGTCCCTATCCTTACGAGTCCTTACTGTCCCGTTTAGTCGGACAGCGCACAAACGACTATCTACTGGGATCCAGTCTAGGAGAGATAATTCTGCCCTAGGACTCAACGCTATGCCTACCCCAGCAAGACCCCTGGAAGCAGCATCAGGGCTACCGGATACACGAAGAGTAAATCGAGCTGCTTCTACGTTTTGACAAGGTGAAATCAGGTTAATGACTTTACTAGGATCCTGTATGCGCGTTTCCGAGACGCAGCATACATCGATGGCACGAGATTCTAAAGTCCTAGCTAATGATGCCTGTTGCCCTATTTGACACAATGTCCGTACATTAAAAGCTCCAATATGTAGTCTAGAACGGGGTTTCAAGAGACCAGGAACGACGTTTCGTGATCTCACTTCGTCTGCATTAGCGGTGCAGTGAGAAAAGGGAGTGTGAGTAGAGTTAGTCGTAGAGATAAGAGAGACATTAGGGGGTGTAGGAAGGATTTGATTTTGACCAATTTGGTCTCGCGTGCTGGTACGGGTATGAGGGCGGTTGTCACTTCCCGGATGCCCACACCGTGGAAGGTTGTTTCTTGAGGGACCTGAAAAGGAAGATGGATTAGTGTTGGTGCGTGACCGCAGAGTCCAAGGGACAACTGCTTGAGGCCGGTCACGCACGGCCTTTTTATGAAACGTTGTTTGAGGATTAGCTCCGTTCTTAAAGGCCCTTAGTGGGCACCCTTACCCAGGGAGACGGAAATCCGTGAGTTAGGGGGAGTGTGACATTTTTAGGGCCGACCTTTTCTAACCCTTCCTTCCTTGTGAGAAGGCAGCATCGCTGCAGATGCTGGTTGTCCGAGGGAAACACCTTACTGCTGTCACACCCCTCTGCAGTCAGCAGTACGACTTCGCCCTCAGACCTTGGGTAGCTGCTTTTAGTCTCATCGTTCTCCAATCGACCTGCCTGGCATGGTAGGACCTGCAGGAACATGTGTTCCAGCCAGTATAGCTCGGTTGGGTCATCGCGATAGGCAAGCCCGACCACCACGTCAAGGTAGCAGCTTCGGTCGGGGCTTAGAGAAATCAACTTAAATCATATGGCTGAAAACATGGATAACAAAAGTAAATTCCTGCACCAGTTGCTCTTCTTACCCCCGGCCCTTTATAAAGATGGTAATGACTCCTGACTATCAGACCGACTGAGTTGTTTACGGAAGTTTGGCAGTTAGAGACCGTTCTAAGATTGTGGAGTGGGTTGGCAGTCTTCTTTGTGCAGTAACTAACGAGATATAAATCTGCTACTGACCACCTCAGTTATTGCCTTTCGTCATACTTCTTAGATTGTTCAAAGCCCGATGAAGATTTATTTGCGAGGATCAGATTGGTTTTCGTTCCAGTCGAGGATGTATTGATCATATATTCGTCATCCACCGAGTGCCAGAACAACGCCACACTTATCGCCGGCCAAAACTCGTTGTGTTTCTTGACATCAGGGCCTCCTTCGATTCGTTGGACAGGATTGTTCTCTGGGATTGTTTATTAAAAAAGGATATGCCTGAGTTCATCGAAATCTTGAAGGCCGTATATACAAACACGTTGGACAGAGTGACGGCATACAACCACCTCTCCATTATTTCATAGTAAGGTTAGGGAGGGTTGTCCAATCTCGCCATTCCTCTTCAATTTAGCCATCGAATTTGTTCTGAAAACAGTTCTTATGGCTGTAGATAATGGCGGTGTGGATCTGTCACCTAAAGAAAAACTTTTCGACCCTGGAAATGCGGATGATCTTGTCCTTCTGTGTTTTGATACTCAAAGAACATAATCCACACTTAATTAGTTGGAAGTCAGTGTCCATGTGTGTGGCATAGGATTTTACCTTCTATTTGCAAAGCAATTTTACAGGACTGACAGGACTCTAAATCTACACTTAAAAAGATATAATTAATAGTGAAGTTCTTGTATTTGTATAACTGTGTAAGTACTGGTGGTGGTGTGAGTGATGAAACTAATTCACGTGTAGTGAAACCAAAGAAGCTTACGACAATCTGGGTCATCTTTGGCACCTTCGTGATGTTAGTTTGACTGTTAAAGGCCGGGCCTACCATCTGTCGATAAGATCAGATTCGCTCTATGGTTTTGAAACCTGGTCTCTCCTAGTTGAGCATCTCTCTGTGTTTGATCGTCGTTGTATCTGAAGGATCGCTGAAGTTCAATGACAACACCATGTTTTTAATGCATAAGTGCAGCTACATGTCCCCAGACACAGTGACAATGATGGTGTCACAATCTCGAAACACCGACTTTGGTGACTTGGATATGTACCACAAATGTTGTCGCAGTGAATTCCACACCTTGCATTGTTTACCAACGCTGGAACCAGTTGGAAAAAATCAGAATGGTCGGTGTATATGACATTATATCTTAGCATGAAAGAATGCTGGTATCTGTTGATACTTCACGACTCCCTGGTTGTGTCATCATACATGGTACAAAATAAAAACCAGTGGTGGTCCTAATGTAACTTCTTTTTACTTTATATAAGTGAGGTGATAGTTTCTAGACTGTGACCAACTGACCGATCAGTGAGACAAACTTCTTCAACTGAAAGAATCCTTTCTGGTTGTATGTTCCCTAACAAAATAATCCGTCATTATTACATCGTGATCAATTACCTGTATAGTTTCAGTCTGTTGAACTATATTGTTAATATTTTGCAAGATAAACTCACTACTGGACTTAACATCTTCATTTCTATAGGGTCATTAAGCGCGCTTATTCATGTGACTGTAGTTTTTTTTTCACTTGAAATTGTTGTACATTTTCAATATATCCTTTACAGATGGTTAGCTGATTCACGTGATGATTACACCTATGAACGTTTGGCTGAATTCCAAAACAAGTGGTCAGTTTATCGATGCCACACTATTATGAATTGTACAGAAACTTGTCCAAAAGTAAGTGGATTGATTCTCGAATATGCTTAGCATTTACATCCAAAACTCTATTTATAAAAATTTTCTAAGACTTCGAAACGGTTACATTTTTGTGACCCTAACCCCCCCGAAAAGTAAATGTTTTTATAATATTGCCTCCATGTATTCAGTTTTATTTTATTAAAATTACGATTTCAAATTATGTGCATGTTTTGTAATACTCAAAACAATATTTAACAACAGATTGATCCTAATGTAAATAGCCTCTTTGAACTTTCCCAATAATCACTTGATTTTTGCCATAATATTGTTGAAATGTAGTTTTCTAACTGATTCGTTCAAAAATAAGGAAATCAAGAGACAATGACTTTTCATTTCCTTAATGCAAGACGACCGAGATATGCAATTTTGAAAATAATTTCGTAATGCTTCGTTTTTTTTCCGCTCATCCGGATACCTTATATTGATGCTTTTAAGAGTAAATAAAATAAATAAACAATCACATATTCTAAACTCGTCAGTGTTTTCGTCAAGAAATCACTCAACAAAGTTTTCAAAACAGATATTTCTTAGATTAGTTATACTTAAAGAGCAGAAGGACCGATAGACTGGTGGTGTAAGCCATGGACGGCGCTAGCATCTGGCAATAACATTATTGACACACCAGGTCGCTACAAGGACAATGACGGCAGCATACGAAGGACTACTGTCATTTATTTGACACGATCGACTAGCTTCGGAGGACGTTGTGTGAATTGAAAGGTAATACTTCTGCAATCAGTCTTTGACAGATACAATAAAGATCATGCTATATTTAAAATAACGAATATCATTGCGGCAGTGAGATACACTGGCTTCTCTAGACTTGCATAACCCATTAGTTATATTGCCTTCGTATACATCCATAGATGCGTATTACTACCATATATATATATATAGACTGTTGTAAGGTAAATTCCGATGCTTGTTCGGTAAATGTTAGTCGTAAAATTGTAATTAATGCGAATGCTTTTAAGTTGTACACATATGTTCATGTTTATTCGTATACTTTCCTTATAAAAACGATATCATAATCTACAGTAATCTTAATCTTTCTTTAGGGATTGAATCCTGGTTTGGCTATTGCAGAGATTAAGAAAATGCTGATCTATTTCAATCAATATAAAGACAAGAAACCGGATACAAGGACTGCATAAGCTCTATAATCATTTCGTTCATATTATCTTTTTTGAATTCGACTAACTTACTTATTGATTATATGTAGTGAATCGTCATTAATGTCCTCTAATTTTTAATATAACTTATAAGTACAAAGTTGTTACTTGTTATTTAAGCATCGAAGGAAAGTAACTAAATGCCTCATCGTCAAAGGGGATACAGTTTCCAGTCATTGGAAGGATAACTAGTGTTGCGAGACCAAACAATATATAACGGTCAGTGTTTGCTTAGGGTTCAATCATTTGACATTTTTTCTCCAGGAATAATAACTTCAAGCATGAAAACGAATAATGTTCAACCTCACAATCTTCAAAATCAACTCAAACATCAGTATAAATGTACCACGTCACTACCAATCATAACTCCGCCTGGAGCCCCTCTGGGGTTACTGGCGCACCCAAGCCCGGACAAGGGAGGGTTGGAGGCCCTATCCCGTAAAAACAAACTCGCTAAGACAACTCTGACCAGAAAACCCATTTCAAACCATTTTATCTATGTCGTGGGAGTGAGGTCTTCATTCTCGTGATGAAAACCGAGTTCCCTCAGAAGTCGCGAGGTTACTAACATCTCGCGGACCCCAACCAGGTAGCCTACATCTACCAACATGACTCAGTCCGGTTTTTAGTGACTTCATGGGTTTCTGCCATGTTTTGATTTGGCCGCCGCTAGCTTTCGTCCAACCTATTCCTACATCGCAAAACATAGCTCGACGAGACAGTCGGTGGTTGAGCATTCGTAACACATGTTTCAATGACCTCAACTGATGAAGTTTCAATACTTAGTAGTGTGTGGGAAGTGGTTACCAAGTAAAAACTCCCAAAAGAATCGGAATCAGAAAGGAAGTTGTTATTGATTAGAAGTAGCGTGATATCACGTGTACAGCCAGACGACGAAATAAACAAGAACGACCACGAGATTGTGAAGGCTGGCGCTCGAGTTATGGCTTTTAGTCCAGATAAACAAAAGGTGTACAATAAAATAGTTATTGTCATACATGTTCAATAAGTATTTGTATGCCAGCAATTATGTTTTCTTCATAAAATAGTTCTACCACAGAACCCCCTAGAAAGGGTTTACACTTTCGATACATAGCAGCTGCGTTCGGGGGGTTTTTGGCGAACGTTCGTTTGTAGGGCAGAAGGGTTGACGAACAGGAAGCCACCAATGAAGCTCAAGTTGTCAACGAGGAGTTTTACCGCTGCCGTGCCAATAACTACATGCCAAGTTTGGCTCTCGAGTTGGCATGCCACATCCAGAGTCAGAAAATTGTGTTTGTAGGGGCTCGTATCAGAAGAAGCTGCAGACGTAGGGCGGAAACCAGATTGAGTGAAGTAGCCAGTACGACTTAGTGCGAAACCATCCGCATGCCAGATATATTTTTAACCAGAATATCGAGTGATTGCATGGACAAGAGCGTGGGTGATCAGGCCAGCTTCCGCCAAGGTTGACTGAAGTTGACGGTATCAACAGCCGTCTCAATTTCCGAGATCGTTCCACTGTTCCTGAACCCCATGAGCCCGCTCGCGATCAAAAAAAGCAACAAGTATTCGCCCTCACCAGGCATCTTCCAAGCCACACAAAAAGACGGCTTCGGAAGCGAGTACCGGCTGGTGTTTGTTCCGTCAGACTTTTAGGCCTGGCGCCCGTCGTTGTCGAGCACCCTGCCCATATAGGGCGGAAAACTCCAGAACTGGCGAGTAAATGCGACCGTATTTGTCGGCCACTCACTTCAAGTTAGCCGCCTATTGTACGTGCATGACACCGGCACTAACGCTAGGTACCTCATCGACACAGGTGCCCAAGTTTCTGTCGTACCGCTTGGTAACAGCAAGTCTCATTCAACGATGCTCCGGCTACGAGGACGTGGGGTACAGAAATTCCTATCCCTTTAAGCCTTAATATGATTGGCATCGAGATCCACGTCGGTATGTGACGTGGACGCAACTGTATAGTTGTCTCGGTTGCCAGTTAGCGCAATAACTCTGTCTGCCACGATGGCAACCTGGCTAAGTGGCATGTCTTGGGGCAGAGCGGCGACCGTAAGCTGTGTAGGATTTAATTTGTCCTACAGATTTAATTCTTGAACGGTAAACGCAATATTGGCGAGCACAGAGTCAATGGGAAAGCTATAGTTATAACAAGATCAACTTCTGCTTTAAACTTTATCTGTTTCTAAACATAAAAACAATTAGATTAGTACAATAAATAAGGAAATTACAGTTGTAAAGGGAAACGAGTAAACATACCGACCAATATAGCGTGTCTTTGGAAAATGAATAAAAGCATGAGTCACATCAATATAATACGATAATAACGTTCTTCAATTAGTAGGTCATTTACAACAAAGAAGGTTTACAGACACATCAGACCAGATAGCGTGGTGGGCGCTTAAACCACAATCTGATTGGTTAGTTATGGCATAACTACAATTAGTTATGGAAATGACTAACAAGCTGTACATATGCTGATAACGATTCGAGCCACAATTCTTTGACTATATCGGAGTCAGCTGCTGTCTGTCCTGCCAGGGATTGCAGGCGCGTGAGGTGGTGGTTCGGTTTAGCATCACCCAGGGGATGATGTGCTAACAGTGTCCTCAGTCACTCCTCCCTCCATGGGAGGAAAGGTTGCAAAACCGCCTGCATGAGACGATTTTAGACGTCTGACACATCGTAAATGAGGACAGCCTCACGGACAGCGGCTACATGATCCCCAGTTAGAGATTCCAGGGCGTAGGCGTACATTTGCCGCTAGTTTGTGATGCAGTGGATCTCGAACTGAGCCTCTAGTGCCGCGAACCAGACCTCTGGTCGGGCGTCGATAGCTGGAACCCTAGAACGGTTAGATCAGGGAAATCAAGCTATTTATAATTTTCAATATTGATGTACAGACTAAATATTCATACTTCGTCAGCTTTCTGAATATAAGTATGATAGTAGACGCCTATATGTGGTTATATCACTTGATCCAAAAACTGTATTCGGCTACTGGACGTCGAGTTCCATACCAGTGTCTACCAATGAAATGCACAGCAAGAGGCTTTTTACTCGAACAAAGATCAACGCTTGTTGTGAACTGGTTACTTCGAAATAGCTCACCACCTCCCCGTATATCTTAATTTTGTTATGAGTGTGCTTTAATGATAATACTTCGTTTAAAGTTGTTTTACTTGATGGAGTGAAACCCTTCAACATCTGTCCCAAGATGGATGAGATTGGTATGTATTTTGAAGTAAAAAACAAACACAATGCTCGTTTTATGAACATCTTTCTTCCTAGTTATTACTTGCTATTTGACGGGTTCGTTGGTAAATTATCAGCTAAAATGAAGTGAAGAACAAGAATCTGATGTTTGGTGGTCGGAGGAATTCTACAGGGAATCCTCGACTAAGGATTCTGGACTAGTTAGTAATCGTCGGCAAAGCGTACCAATAACTTCGAAGCCGACGCCCAACAGTGAGTCCGAACTCGGGTCATCAAGCTTTGCAGTTTGAGACGTTCCCAATCCATATTAAGGATCGGACAAGCATATCATTGGTTACTACGTAGTGATCAATCTATACAGAATGACTAGTGTCCATCAGCCTAAACATTTTAATCTAAATCAATATGTTTAACCATTGTACATAGCATTTAAACGTGACTTGTTTAAAATTAAGGCCAAATAATCATACTGACCTATATATATCAAAATGTACACATACAATAGACTATAACTTCTTGTCCTCAAGTTATTATTCCAGTTCGAAGTTTCCTTCCAAAGTAAAGATATAGTTATGATAACAACGTAATTTGCGATATGATGGTACAGGAGTTGAGCCTGATAGAGGTCAGTCAGTCAGATGCGACGTAGAACTTCGTACGTAAGTACATCAGTTCATGTCGCCATACCACATCAGCACAGAGATGTAATTGTCAATTCAAATCCAATAGTAGAAGAGGTAGTAAAGGTATTAGAAGTAATCGGAGAGGTTAGGATTAGAAGATATTATTCAAGAAGTATGATTCAGTGAGAAAAGTTTACAAAGTTGAAGAAACCAGAAGATTAGGATTTGAGAGAACACAAAGAATAAATGCACCGGCGCCATTGCGAACAATTTTGAGCCATGTCATTCAAGGTCTCTAGCAATCGATTATTATCATCTCGCGGACCCCAACCAGGTAGTCGACAATTACCGACATGGCTAAGTCCATTCGTCAATGATTTCATGGATTTCTGCCATGTTTTGTTTTGGCCGCTACTAGCTTTCTTCCAACCTACTCCTACACTACAAAACAAAGCTCGTCGAGGCAGTCTGTGGTTAGGCATACGCAACACATGTCCCAACCACCTCAACTGATGAAGTGGTGTATTTGCACTATACATTTCGAATAATCTGATCACACATATACTTTTTAAGGTACTTTGTACGAAACTTAAATAACAGCGATAATTATAAATAAGAGAATGGAAAAATTAACATAGTAAAGAAAGAGTGGGAAATTGTCGTACTACCTTAGACTATAAAATGGCAAATTCAAAGTTACGACACAATTCTTCTTGTTGATACAATAATTTCCATAAAAAGTGCCTTGATTGGTATATATGTGTGACCATGTTGTTCGAGATATATAACATAAATACATCATGTTCACCAGATTTTAGCTCCATTCGGATTATTAGAGAACATAATATTCTTACACAGTATGGCAAAGTATTCGTTGAAATACGTTAAGATAAGAAACTTCGTAATGAAGAAGATATTATCCATTATTATGACAATCATAGGTTAACTGTTAAGTATTTTAACTCAACAAAAAGTTTTTTACCCATTAATTAAGTAGTATAATAATCCCCAATATTCTATTATTTTTTAACAGAACCATTCTCTGCAAACTATATTGCGATTTTCCAGTTCAAATAATTCATTCTTCTTTGATAGATGATTTATCAGCAAATTAGTAAGTTACGATTTATTAAAGTTTCAAAATTAATGATACCCATTAGCTTTTTTGTAGCAAAGAAATCCAAACGAATATTCATCATATTTTACAGAATATTGTCTATGATTTAATTTAGTGCTTTTTTCTTTCACAAGAAAATTTATCATTTAAAAATGAACAAATTCCTCGAATAAGATAAAAAACAGAACTGAAGTAGTATAAGCAATAGACTGAAAAAACTCTCTTATTTACACACAACATCTATTGACTTTTGAATGGTTTACAATTCGCCTTCAATGTTTTCGAACTCTTCTCATCTATACTACTCACATCGTTGCTAGTAAGCAAATTATTTATCACGAAAATACCTAGGAGAATTGTAGCATTCTCTAGAAGTACATATATTTCCAACCAAAATTCACATCCTTTAATATGCCAATAGTTAAAATTACAATCACGAATTAAAGATATGAGTAAAAAAGAAAATCCTATAAGATAATCCGCAAATCGGAATAAATAATTTTTGTAAGAAAATGTATTGTTCGGGAAAAATCGATCATGTATTATCACAGGAATGGAATAGATGATACTAGATGTGAACAAACATATACCCAAAATTACACTTAACAATTTTGACAAACAACTATCCATTGATAGAATTACTGTAGAACTGATTTCTGTCAATTGAACATCTTTATCTAATTGGAATAATTCTACAGGTATACAGAATATACTTAATAAACATAATGATACAGACATTATAGTTAAACCGAAAGCATAAACACTTGTCGTATTTGACTTGATTTTGTGTAGTTGATCAATGTGATGATCATTATTATGCAACTCTGTCTGTTTTAATTTATCATCACGATCATTATAAGCATTCAATCCGAGCAAACGGAAATACACACCAATTGCAGTCAAACACCTCAAACCAATTCGAGCACGTATACATTTTGAATAGCCTAGACGTTTTTCTAAACAAAACACATATGCTATGTACAGCTGACTTAGGAGAATTATAGTCAATGATAAACGTGTTAAGAAACGACTGGTAATTCCAGTTGATGCGATCAAGCCAGAACCAATCTATGAAATAAAGTGGGAAAAAATAGTATAAAGATATCATCTTAATTAAAGAAATATTCAGTGGTTAGTTTGAATGATATAAAATAGAATCATTTAATTGCTGGTCTTTACTTAGGGATAATTTGTATTATAATGAAACGGATGCATATTTAAAAAAAACCTGTAACAGTCGAGTAATCAATGAAAGTTATAAAGTTATAGGAAATTATTTATATAGATTAAGATAGTTTCTTTGTGTTGGGGATGTTAGATCGCCAAAATTCGCTTGTTAAATGCCTTATTTTGGTTTTCACGTTCGCCAGCATGGGCTGATCAGTTGACCTTGAGATTTCAATTCCCACCAGGAAAATTCATGGCTGTGATTGGCTGCTGTGTATTTTAGTGTGCTATTTTCTTAACTGTCCCAAGGACGTTTCTATGTTGTATAAATAAACGAGTTGTATGCCTGACGGTACTGTGATTGCTGGGTGTTTGTAGAATATACTTTCTACGCTTACAAAGTCTTTTTACTCGCTTTAGGGATTCAACGTAGCCTGCCTGGACGCGGGTAAAAGTCTCGTTCGCGTTTATCGACTAAGGTAAACTCGTAATAGCCTCAAGCATACTAAGTGACGAACCCTACACTTTGAGGCTATGTGACGTAGTGTTGTTACGTTAATTTAATTTCGTAAAGAAGTATAACTTTGTATAATCGGATCTGATATACGCTTTCTGTGAAGATTAATCATACAACTTGGCCGCTTAAACTAAAGTAAATTACTTAACACATAGTACTAAAAGTCATACATTGAAGACTGAGAAAAAATTATCTTCACTACCCTATTTGACGAGTGCTTAGTGAATCAAAATAACTGAGTTAATTCTCTTATTGAACAGTGTGAAAGTTTTGTTTATGTATGTTAACTCTACATACATGAGATAACTAATTTTTAAAGCTTAAAAAACTTGACAATCGTAACCTTATCTTTCGTGGTTTTCTTTTGTTGGACTATAAATAATTACCTGACTGATAGAATAAGACATGCTGTTATGGTATGAATTCCATCATTTGAGTTTTTCACTAACGTTACAACTGGTAAGGTTTGGTGGCTATAAGATTTGAGGAGTATGACATTAATTTCAAAATTAAAAAAACCTTAAATAAGATACAGAACTAGTCAGTGGGGACATTTTGAAAAAATTTAATGGTTAAGACGATAGCGTTAGGGTTGACGTTTTAAATACTGAGACTTTAACTAAGGATGGCTTAGAAATGTGATATGTGATGTCATAATATTCAGTTTTCGGACAAACTATCGTTAGAAAAAAGGTTCAGCGTGAAATATTTATCCACCAAGCAATTTAAAAAAGACAACTAATCAAGTTAATTCGATTTTCACTGATGACAGAGAATATTGTTTACTACAAATTTAGTTTATAATGTGAATCACTTACAAAGCTTATGTTTATTTACTAAACTCTAAACTACATGGTTTGTATGTTGGCTAATGATACAAACTGGATACCGAAACAGAAGTAGATATGATGAGGTTCGAATATGAGATTATAAGTTGATTATAAGTTGAATAGTTTCAACTATAGAACCATCTCTTGAGATTAAAAACCCGCCTACCAGCAGTTTTACACATTTTTTAAAAACCTAGTTAGCAAAATGATTATTCCTTTGAAGAAAATTCATGGATCATTTAACAAAAACTTTTTATATGTAAAAAGTTCTCTAATCTCACGATCTAAACAGTAAAACGTATGTCTATGTTCGAATTGGTAGTGGTTATGAGTACTAAAAGCTGAACAAAAATGTATGATTAAAAGTGCTCTAAATAGTATTGTGTCTACTGTCTTAATAAGATCTTTAAAATTTTAATTATCAAGTCATTTTTATTTTCAACATTAGGTTTAATCAACAAAAGTTAAAACAAGCACTTAAGAATTGTCCCTAATCACGATCGACTTGTTATTCTCCCAAAACATTACCAAAAGTACACTAGATGTGATATTACACCCTACAGCTACGACAAATAGTCAGCAGTCTCCATTAGACATAGAATTCTAATTCAGATTTAAATTAAAATTATATTCTATTTTATATGAAAAGGATATCCAGTTAACTCACATACGCATATACCATCCATGGATGTATAGGTGGCTCTGTTTCATGATAAGCCCGTTCACCTAACCATAATAACATACAAACTGATTGAAAAAGACTGATTCGAGCTAATAGCCAGTGTGCACAACGAATTCCATATGAGTAATAATGAAATGACATCTCAGTTAGCTATCCAATCAGGTAAAATTTTCTTTTGCGAAGAAACTAGTTTTTACAAATGAAAAAGAAAAGGATTACGAATGAAAGCAACATTGCAAGTTGTTTGTTTGATATACACTAACCAGTCTAGTTATTTAGTTACGTTGAGAATAGTTCAATTGTGACATCATTTTCAAAGCTAAAGGTCTGAATCCTATCGGGGTCTCCACATACAACAGATTAATCAAAAAGTTAGTTTTATAAGATTTTATGTCATTAACAACTGTAATACACCTTTTTACGATATTCTGTTATCTTTATTACTCATGATTTAAGATGTTTACTTACAGCTTTGAATGACAGAGTAGACTTAACAGGTTATATAAACCTAAGTGATGAAAGATACGAAAACAACTCATTTCCGACTGAAGGCATTTATAGGATTAAGGGTAGCGAGAAAGTAGCCACCATTTTAGTGAGACTCCCAACATTACTTCCTCGTCTTGTGGATGTAATTTCTCGAAAAAGGTTCAGAAATCGTATCTTTACATATCTGGTAATTTTAGTCAATGCGTCCAGATAAACAACCTATTGAAATAATACCACCAACAGCATAAAAATAGCAAATAAAAAAGATAGATTCCATATAGATCAGTAAACTGTTGGCTTTATCGTAAAATGAAATCATCAAGTATTTGTTCTTTTTTTATATGCTCACCATTGTTGACAGGTTCAACTTATCCGGTTTATTTGGAATTCACAAGGTATTTTCATCAAGCTATGCTGTATTATCGGATCTATATAAGCTCTTTTCCTAAACCACATGGTCCACAGTCAGTCAGTTGTAACGTAGAACTTCGTACGTATGTACATAAGTTCAGATTGCCATACCACATTAGCACAGAGACGCAAATGTCAAATCAAATCCCATAGTGATAGAGATAGTAGAGGCATTAATGGTAATGAAGAAGACTAGGGTTTGAAGGTGGTCCACCGTGAAGCACAGTTAAGTACCAATAAAAGCTACATAACCTCAAAAAACTTCGTAGTTCTCTCAATGAGCCACGTTCATGGTGACTTGCTAGTGCTCCAACTTTTTTCCATGGTGGGCTGGTACCGAAGCATTTCCTTAGGAGTTCGAGGCACGAACTCCAAAGCTTAATTTGGTAAAATCTCTGATACTAAATCAACCTTGCCATAATGTTGTCAGATCTGAATGCTCTTACGGAAATGCACCTTATTTTGTATGCTAAAGTTCCATAAACTGAGATCGGAGCAGTTTTACAACAACAGATAAGAAACAATATAAGATCCTAACCAATCAAATTGGTTTACGCTAGCTCGTGAAAAAGATATTGGATATTGGATCTGTTAGGCCTCAAACAAATACATTACAGTACATAAAATCGAGAACCAATAGCTACTTATTTGACAGTAAAGCGTTTGAGACACTTGTTGTAAGGTCGTGAGTCCACCATTTTCATTAACCACATACCGACTTCTTATTCCTCTGATAAATTGTCTGATCAGCATTTACCCCAATGCCATACAGTTAGATTATCTACTCCAGTTCACTACTGGACCCAGTGAAAATATAGCCTACTCTGCCAGAAGACCCCAGTTTTAATCAGTGTTGTACATCAGGTTTGGATGATGGTTTCATCGTGAGGACATGGATCTAAAAACAGAATTGTTGCCGTCAGTACAAATCGGTTGGTTACCGGGATGACTATCGCCACAGCCATCAGTCTGGTAGACCTTAATTTTAGTCTCGATGTTAAAGCATTCATCTCTAAAACTGTTCGCAATTCATTATATATGTCAGCAACGTGTCAAATAACAACTCTAGTTAGGAAAAACTTGTAGTGCGTGTATTTCTTGGTAATCCTTTGTACCAAAACTTGCGTTTAAATAAGGGAAACAACTAGATAAGTATAAATTTTTGTAACAATCATAAAAATATAGAATTAAAGAAATAAATTCTGACCATTATTAATGTCCCTAATTTTTACTCACAAACAAGGACACAGAATGACCTTGGAACAATATCCAATATCTTTTACCCGAGCTATCGTAAACTGATTGATTTCTTTGCGCTCGATCCTTGTGCTTTCAGTACCGTTCCAGGCGTTTGGAAGTGTCCAATAAATGGAGGTCCGGCCACTTGACCACACTAATTCTAGTCAGTTGGCAGGTGTCTGTGAGTTTGTTTGTTCCGTGATTTGAATGAGCACGTTTGTCGCAGGGTTGTAGGGTTATCGGATAACAGCCGCTATCATGTTACCAGACTGGAGGTCAGTTAGTTGCAATGTGGAGAGTAATATGGATAAAATTCTAATGCTAATATGAATAAAATTTCAGAACTAAGCAACGAAACATGCATCCGACAAGGCTGGTTCAAACAGATGACAAACCGTTTCTCAAGTATCCTCTTCAAGCTGATAAATATGATTCATGTGGGCACTTTGGCCAAGAAAGCATTCCAAATAGAGGAAGCCCTTGATCAGAGAGGGGAAGCATACCATGGATATTACTCTTTGACAGAAATTTTTCTCGGGGTTACTCTGAGGTTCGTGGTGCTTTGGCAAGATGCTCCTCTTGGGGTGGTTTGGACCACTGGATATGTTGTATGCCATTATCAGACCACCTGTGATTCTCCAGTAATAGCGTAAATAATTACAAGGGATGAATTCCGACCTCGTATGGTGTATTCTCTAACCATGTCAACCATACAGTTGCTTATTTTTGCACAAAGTTGCCCTTTGCATGAATTGAAGAGCTGGGTTTGCAATGGCTTCATCCTCTTCGCAGTTTTAAGCTGCGGTCAGGTAGTCTATGGTTATCATACAGATGGTATTAGGGAGTGGTCTTCCATTGAGGAAGTAAGTTTACTGTCCCGTAACATCTCGCAGCCCAGTCCTAAGTAGATAGGAGGATTTTTTGAAGTTTACTTGAATCCTGTTTACTTCCTATGGACTTCTAGATCTTTGAATCGTCTGCGCAGATCGATGCCGCTGAGCTAACTTTGTATAACATATTATCAAATAATATCAGGAAGAGGAACAGACCTAAGAAAGTCTGCTGTGGAACTCACCTAACCACATGCACTTTATTTACCTTGGCATTAATCTCCCTATTCTCTAGGTAGTTTCTAAGCCAAGGTTGTGGTCATTGAGTTCCTCTTCCGCAACCTTCGCAGTTAGGAGAACGTGGGTTACTGTGAAGTGGTATTTTCCGGTACCAGCTGTCCCATACCATGAGAAAACTGGATGTGAATGACGTGCCTTTCCTAAAGCCGTGTAGAGCTTCGTAGAGAAAGTTGTGCTCATCAATCCACTCTTTCGATGGTATTGGTAGTAATACGATTAGTCTGAAGCAGGCTTCATCTTTTCCATCTCCTTCTCTAAGGACTGGAGAGAGCAGCTTAGTTTCATTCACTTAGGAGTTTAAGTGACTTCAGAAAAATGTTTCAAAATTATAAAGCGAATGTTTTCACATCCTGGTGACTTTCCTGGGCGCAGCCATCTGAGTTTTCGTAGTACTGAACCAGTAGTAAGTCGGATATTTATCACGCCGTCAGCTGCCACTAGGTTTGAGTAGTACTTTGAAAGTGTAGATACCTAGTTTAAATGGTCTCTGGAATCTGACTCAAACTTGTAGAAAAGGGGTATGGTCCATGTTATCTCCAGTTCAAATCTGAAAGGCGAAAGGACTAATTATTTATGGTAAGAATATCGTATGAATGGTTGCCAAATCAGTTCTCTCATGATCTCTAGTTTTGGCAGTTGATAACAGTTAGTTACACAGTATTTCATTAACAATATAGACAAAGGATAACAGTTTATACTTAATGTCAGTCCAACTGGTTTTAAATATTTATGGATTACGTGAATTTAAGGTTCTCGGTAGTAGACAAACCTAATCTCAGTTTTGGATCCAAATTCGTTTTAATCCCTACTTTGCAACTTCTCTGCGAACCACTGTAAAACATCACTGAACTGCAATCGTTCCAAATGTGGCAGTTTTAATGGTGTTAATTCATTTATGATTGATGATATTTGTGTTTAGATTTAGGTAATTGTTAATCTGGATCCTAGGAGCTATTCAAGTTAGTCATTTTCTGAACTGTCTGAATATGTACCTAAATATTTTATTGATGATCCTGCAAATTGTACTGAGTTTATTGAAAGGTTGAAGTTAAACTTGTGGCTGACGAACTGTTATGCGAAATATAATTAATGTATTATGCCAGGCAATGTACCAGACAGTTTCAAGGGCAATCACAAGCTCAGCTTTACTGACAACAGAGGCATATATTGAGGAAAGAAGAATTTTATGGTAAAGATTTTGAAGATAATTTTCGGTCTCGAGTAGAGCGTTTGAAGCTGTTAAAGGTAACCATCAACAGGTTAACGACAAACCAAAGTATGCGACTGACTTTGTAGACAGTTTGTTAGCTTACAGAAACGCCCTGTTGTTGATGGGTGTGAGTCAGGAACGTAACTCAATATCTGTAATGGAGGAGATAGGCAAACATATCTCCATCCAACTACACTGGAAATGGATGGAGATTATCGCTGTCACGGAAGGCGATGGTAAAAAAAGTGTCTTCAGATATTTTATAATTAGCTAGTCACGACGTGAGTTAGTCTCTAAGTAGGTTTTCTGGTCTAGTATGTAAGAATCTGCCCTTTGTTAATTTGATAGATAATTGTTAATTTAATAGATAAGAAAATAGATTGTAAAATGTTCAGTGAACGATGTTTGCAGGACCAATACAAGTTTGTCGACTCATTAGTTCAACAAAGAATGGCATTTGCCAGAATGATGTATGGAAGAAAACGACCTATAGATGAAACCCTAAGTTAAATCCAAAACTGTCGAACACATAATCCTAGCTTGGTCACAGTGAGCACCAGTAGGTTATATGACTTGATAAACTTAATATATTTCTAAAATGTAAATTAACACAATGTTTAAAAAGTGGAGATCAATGCAGTCTAGTAAAGCGGAAAAAGTATGACATAAAAAGCGTACTGAATATTAACTGGAAGTGGAAATAGTTTTTCAGGTGACACAGCGAATTCTTTAGGTATGTGGCGATTCGAAAGAGCGTCATTTATCAAATAAGCCCTAAAGTGACGCGCCATGATCAGTGTACCCATACTGAATTTCCAGGGCGTAAATTTAGCTAAACCATAATAATAGTACTAATTAAAATTGTTTTCAAATAACACTATGTTACATGAGACATGACAGTTTACAGAGATCAAAATTTTAAAACTGATAACATATTTACTTTAAGAGAATATTTAGTTACATGAATATTTTCAGCATAAATGTTTGTATAGTAATCTCGATGGCTGTGAAGACGATAGGTAAGTTCAAGTATACGGATATTTTAGTCTCGATGAAAGTTTCCGTGGCAGTAGTAAAGCATGTACCATAAAAGGTGGGTAACAGATGTATTGCTGGATGCTTGTGTGATAATTCGTAGTTTATGTAATATCGAAGGTGCCTGGAACTGAAAAAGTGTTCTATCTATCGTACACCATTGCAATAGCAATACCGAAGTCTACTAAGGGGTTTATCATTCTGCAAATATCTTCTGGACATCATCAAGCCAGCTGAAAGGTACGTAGCTGGCTAGGAGAACATAAATTACAATAACTCAGAGTCATTAACGACTTTGTTCATCGGAATGGAAAACTGTACTACATCACTAGAACAAGTGGATGACACCAAAGTCTCGAAATCAATAGGAGCTCTGAAAAATTTAGTACATTTCTCGGCCTAGTCGATAGAATTTGAATAAAGCTAGTCTTACTGACGACGGCAGAGAACCTGGATTCACAAGGCTCACGAATTTCGTCTCGTCGCAAGCTTCGGAAGAATAAGTTCGATTTGTTCGGTTATCAGCACTTAGTAGGCAAATGTCCAAGAACGAGGTAAAGTTCCTAATCGAACCCACAGAATCCCAAATGGTCAGTGTTACTAAAATTCAGTGTGGTACCTATTCAAACAGTCAAATGTATTTTCAGTGCACATGAACAGATGATCTAAAAACTTCGAATTGCGTGTCAACAGCCAGAAACTTGTGGAAGTGACCACATTCAACTACCTGGGATCAATATTCAGAAACGAGGAATCCATAGATAATGCAGTTATTGCAAACATCCCTAAGGCTAGAATTGAATAAACCAAAATTAGAAAAATACCAAGATCTACAGAGATCAGTACTCAAACTAAATCCAGTGTTACGGGAGAAACGAAGACATTTTGCTGATCAAAACCTTCTTGTATAAATATCATTAATTTCACTGTTTTTGGGTACATTTGTTTTACTTAACTTGTGAACTTGTTTGAATTATTATTTGCGGACATTTTGGACTCCCGTTTCTCTTTGTTGTTCGTTTGCAGTTTTTTGCTCCAAGAGCTAATAAATTAGAAGAAAGACATTGGTCGTCTATTTGTAATACAGTATTTTGGTCGAATTTGTGATTTGGAATAAACTTTGGTATCTACTTTGGAGTTTCGTTCTTGGCTTAAACATTTGGGGACTGTGAATTACAAATAGCTCGACAACCGTGCTTCGTAAGATCAACGAGCAAAAAACTGGACGTAACATCCAGGGTTGTGGGTTCTTCAACAATCCCCATCGTAACTTATGTATTTGAGTTCACAGGCGTAAGGAACAAGGTCCTCAGTAGCGTTCACTGAATGATGCTAGACATCAGCAATAAAAGTTAACCCATAAGTGAACAGTTACATAAGAAAATGTCACTTTCCAACTTATCAATAAGGCCGTTACAAAACAGACGAAACCCATGGACCACAATACATGAAAGTCAAAATAACCTAATGAGGCTCTCTGTAAAGAACTGTATGAACAGTAAAACGAGACCAGCTGGATAAGACAATTAACGCATAATTTGAACCAAATTAGCGATCACCTACATGCAGAATGGGTAACTATCCCAACGAGGATGAAACTTCCAAACACAAATGAATACAACCTGAAGTTAATAGTAAAGCGATACTTAATCCACAA